TAAAGAGAGGCACCCATCTGGGTATCAAGGAATTTGCTCTAAGTAACACTGGCAATAGGTGAACCAATCTTCAGTGGTCTTATTTTGGTGCCTGGGGTCCTCTATCCTTCTCTGGTAAGCTTCCCCAAGTATACATCACTGACTACTCTAAGTCAAGAGTATTATACCTATTAGCACATACATTTGCTACTACATTTGCTTAGATTTGACTTTACTGGATCCCAGCTTAACTTCCATATTTATGGACATAGGTTAGCTTCTATCTTTTTTCAAGCTACAAATCTGATATTTATTTACCTACACAAAGCAGTTAAGAAGGCTTGCAGGAACGTAACCATATTTTGCTTTGTTGCCATAGAAACAATGGGAATTTCTGGTCATTGACATTTGAGGAAAACCAAAGGTACATTTTCATGAAGTTCATAAGAGTAATCAACCCAAGATATTAATCTCTGGTTGTAGGTGCACCATTTTGAAATCACCTTTGTAATCCAGGATGATTTTAGAGTCAAGTTGCATTATTCAACCTTACTATAGAATCAAAATAGAGTTCTTTAAAAAATGTTTCAACTGATTCTAGTATAGGATCTGGGATAACCACAGCGATGATAGGAACAGCAAAGAAAAAGAAATCTTAGATGAGTGTATTAGAGTTATTGGAAGCAAAATCACCTTTAAAACGTTCTGATGCTATATGTGTTGTGCTACATTCTGAGTGCTACAATCTTGGGCTTGGGCAAAGCATAAAATATGGCCTCACTGTTTCAAAATGTAACTATAAAGTAGGAGCTTATCACAAAATATTAAAGTTTTAATAGCATTTACCAATGGAAATTCTTAGTTTATTCCCTTACTATGTAAAATGTTCATACACTAAGTTATTTCACTGATAAATAAACACAATTAAAAATCTTAGTTATGAATGAATTTATCCATTTCTTTGGCCATTTGGAAGCAGTCAAGTATCAATGCTTCAATGGGGAAGTGACAAAGCTTGCTTTATTGTAAGCTATTGTTACTATTACATCAATATTTTTATTTTCTATTGAAAATAAATGACTAGAATCACCAAGAAATACATCATTTAATTACAATAAAGTATCTATCAATGTCTGACTAGTTTTCCTAAGATCAGAAATATCTCTCCAGGTATAAAACCCTCAGAGATACCTGAAGAAAAATAGAAACATCCTAATAATTGTACCTAAAGAAGTAGAATCCACACTACTTACACATCTGGAAATTTCTCTTTTATAGCTGTACATTCCTCTTCTGGGAGATACTGTGAAAGCTGGAACTCCAGGCCCTGCTACTTATCAATGAGGCCGTCTTGATCTAGCTTTGTAGCCAGTAGGTGCTTAAGCTTACATGTATACTAAATAAGATCAAAAATTCAATTTCTTGGTCTTCTTTTGAGAATTATGTGACTTAAATTTATACCTAAATATATATTAGGCAAAGAATGTTTTCCTAAGGTATATCCAAATCCAAAGACAGGCTAGCATGCTCTTGCTAGTCCTGATCTGATTGTTGCACTGCCCAAGGCAGAAAGAACAAAGCAGGTGAACTCATCCTACTAGGAACACAGCTTCCCGAGAACAGGCCAGCAGTGTGTTAAGTTTGTAATTAGAGTAGTGCATTTTCCTCCTGAGGATAATTTTAGATAGCAATCTTTCTTGTATAAAAAGGAAAGACAAACTACTTTTCCCAAAGGTTAGTATATTACCATATGATTTTTATTTAACCATAGTTCTAAAAAACTGTTTTCCACAAAATTCAACCGTGGGGAAAAAAAAGGTTTTAGCCCTTAATGCCTAAATACTCATCTAGCATGTCAAACTTTGGTTAGATGAGCTTGCTTTTCATTTTCTCTATCTTTGTTACACACACACACACACACACACATATATATATATATATATATTCTGCTGTCCTTGTCCTGATTGAGGAAATTACTTTCTTTCTTATTGCCTTAGTTAGGGTTTCCATTGCTATGAAGAGACATTCATGACCGAGGCAACTCTTATAAAGGACAACATTTAATTGGGGCTGGTTTATAGCTTCGGAGGTTTAGTCCATTATCATCGTGGGTAGAGGCATGGCAGCAATCTAGGCAGACATAGTGCTGGAGGAGCTGAGAATTCTGCATCTTGACCCAAAGGCAGCCAGGAAGAGAATGTCTTCTGCAGGCAGCCTGGAGGAGACTGGATGTCTGCACTGGGGTGGAGCTTACGCATAAGAGACATCAAAGCCAGCCCCCACTGTGACACATTTCCTCCAACAAGGCCACACCTCCTCCAATAATGTTCCTAGTGGGCCAAGCATTCAAACACATGAGTCTATGGGGGTCAAACCCACTCAAACCACCACACTTATATATCAGCTGACTTCAGAAGCCAAAGTATACTTCAGCAGAATAAGAGTCAGAAATTCCCTGGCATGGGAAGCTGTATCTAAACCAAGGTTATAAATCAGCTACTAGAATGAAAGATAAGCAACTATATGGTGCACAAAATCACAACACCTTAAAGCTTTCTGCCAGGACTTAGAGGAAGAAACTGTATATATATGTTTCTTGAGACAGTGTCTCAAACTCATGATCTTCTGTCTTTGAAAACATTATAAATGTACTAGGTGAAGTGGAAGTTTCTGGATTCTTTGAAGACTCATTTTTCTCCTGTGACGTTTTGCTGGAGACTGGCTGGAGAGAGGGCAAGTGATGTTTTGATGTGAGCTCTCTCCTACAGGAACATGACTTGTCCAGCTGAGAACATATGTGGGTAGACTTTGAGGAAAGGAGATACAGAGAGGCCCAGAGGCCCACACACAATGAGGCTTTGCTTTTTGGGTTGACATTGCTACATCTATCTTCATGCTTCCACACTTGACTTCCCAGAAAGTAGTAACATTTTAGAGAACTTCTTGGGGCAATCCAACTGAGTCTTGGGAGCTCACTTGTCATGCTTATTTGTGTTGCTGCTTGGTGTTGACCTTTAGACTGTATCTAAATATGCCAGCATCCTGATGACTGAGTTTGGTAATACCCTAAAGACCTATCAACCCTACTCAGCAGGAAGTAGATTAAAGAGATTTACAGCCCTTTTCCTTATTAATCTACTAATCTCCTATCTAAGGTAGGGGCAGTTGGAAGGGAGGTAAAGGTGTTTAAGAATCCTAAATAAAATAGGTTTGGTGAAAAATAGAAGCCTACAACTAGGTATATGCATATATATATGCATATACCTAGTTGTATGCATATATATGCATATATATATATATATATATATATATATATATATATATATTCTGTTAAATCACTAATTGCCACAAAAGTTAAGAAATATATTTGCATCTTATGCTGATGGAGAAATTTTTGAAAAAGACTTAAAAAAACTCAAGTTGGAGTTCCAGAGTATACTATTGGTTTTGCTGTGCTGCCCAAGCCTGCTGTGGGAGGTTGTCTTTAAAATTCGTTGTGGACTCATTAGAGATCAAACAGCTATGACTTGGAATTTCTACCTGCAAAGGTAAAGGTTTAGCCATCCTCAGGCTGCACTAGGCAGGGAAAGGACTCTTGTCAGGGCTTGTGAGGGCTGAGGGACTTTGTTTAGGTACTGAGTGAAAAATAAACTCTTATAATAAAACAAGACAATGACAACAACAAAACAATTGCTCACACATTAATATCCAGAAGCTGCTTCAGGGAAGAAGAGCTCTATAGTATAATTTCTAACAATAGACACCCTCAAGGTTACAAACATTCTTCCTCCAACCCTCTATTGTTCATTATCACTGTTGTCCATTTGATTTTGTTCTGCTAATGAGTTTCCTTTTTTAAAAGAATGGTACTCTTGGTAGATTTAAAACATACTCTAAACAACTTTTGGGCAGCCTTAATAAAGAATTATTCACCAGCTTCAAGGAAACTTAAATTAGATATGAGACTTATCACTTCTCTCCAGTGTCAAAGAACACATGCAGCTCAACACTGTAGTATCTTCTCAATTTGGCAAAAGAGACTTTGCAGTGTCAATATTTTCATAGTCTTTCATTCCTCTTCCTCTCCTGTCAATGCCCAATATGCACCGAAGTACTCATGACCATACATAAATTAAAATATTTTTTACTGGAATTATACTTTCTGCAAGTGACTTTCATCATGACTCTGATATTTTTATTCCTGAATAATTAGAAAGATGAATTAACAGCCTTACCAGGCCACAGAGGAAGACAATGCAGCCACTCCTGATGAGACCTGATAGACTAGGATCAGAAGGATGGGGAGGAAGACCTCCCTTATCAGTGGACTCAGGGAGGAGCATGGATGGAAAAGAGGAAAGAAGGGTAGGGTTGAGAGGGGAGGACGGAGGGAGATACAGGTGGGATACAAAGTGAATAAACTGCAATTAATAAAAATTTAAAAATAAAGATGAATAATTATTCAATCATATTCAAGTTTTTGTTGCATGGGGAATTAATTCTCTCTAAGGAAAACTTATTTGTTTTATTTTGCTTTTGCCTCCCTATATCTGCAAAGGTATCTTATATGCAGTATGCTTACTGGGGACTTCAAGGTATTCAAGGTATTTTAGGACACTTCTTAGTTTCTTGGATATATATATATATGTGTGTGTGTGTGTGTGTGTGTGTGTGTGTGTATAATAGATTCCACCTTCAAGGGGGTTCTTTCTTTGCCTTTGATATACTAATTTGTCTTATGAATATATAAAAGAGAGGTAATCACTATCACTCACACTTTTTGTTCCAATGAACTGTTTCTCAGTGCAGCAGCAGCTCTGAGCAGCAGTGTAGATCAAACTGGCTTGGGCAGTGATGCTGGGGAATTCCTCCTGCAGGTGAATGCCGCATCTCTAGCTGCTCGCAATTCCTTAAGATACTGTTAAAAAGTTTAAATTCCAGTTTATTGCATCAGTTTATGTTCATGTTCCTGATAAGCATGATTTCATTACTAAAGTGAAATGAGAAAATAATTTTGCAATGAGATAATATTTTATTTTAATTTCCACAATTTATATACAAACACAAGTTAATAAAACACATCACAAAACTGTAAAATTCATAACTAATATTTATAGGTGCATAGTTTCATGCTCACATATTTTAAAATATGTATTAACAAATTTCATAATATACTGTTCTTCTTAGACAGAAAGAATCATTAAGGACACCCAAAACTCTTATAAGATAGCAAATCACAACTTTTTAAGAACAGCAACAACAACAACAAAAAGAACAGTGAAGATTTAGAAATAAGTGGTAGTCACTTAGGTGTTTTAAACTTCTAACATTTTAGGTTTGAAGCCACAATAGCCATAGCACACAAGACCCTGCTACCACATATTTACTGTAGTGAGAGGGAAGCACCGGGACGCTGAGGGGCAGGTACAGGACATGGGTCACTGCTGATGGAAGACTTGGAAACACACTGTGGAGCTTTGAGAAAAGGTCATGACTGGGCACGTTGGAACTGAGCACTTGTACGCCATGGAACAGCGGCCGGCAGATCTCACGACACTGGGAGCAAAGACATTCTTAGGATTCAGGCTCATAGTCTTGGTATCCTTCCTAACATCAGGAAAAAACAAGATAAACAACAACATAAAAACAGCATGTGTTGTCAGTGAAAGCGACAGTTATCAAGGGTGTACTTCACAGGAGTGAAGTAAATTAAAATAAATTTTAATTAATTTTAATTACAGCCTTCCACTCAGATGAAATTGATCCTCAGAACAGTGATTGGAACTCCTCCGTCAAAACAATTGTTTCATACATGACATCTGTAAGTTATAGGAGTTGTCAGATTAAGCTTCTTAGGCCTAATTCCAGATGTGCCATTTGATATGTGATCTCGTCCTGCGGTGAATGGCTGGGGCTGTGGATTATCTCCTTAGATCTGCACTGTGAGTGAAGAGCACCAAGGTGAGCTACCAGAAGCAACCTCTTGGGCTCAGTGATCTTGTTCTCAGAAGTGAAGATGGTTAGAAATAAGGCTGACTTCCTCTCCTTTCTCTCTGTCATTAGCAAACTCCACCTTCATTGAAAGCTTCAACACAGGCTCCAGTTCCTCTGTCCTAAAGCCCAAGCCTCCTGGGCAGAACCCAGTTAACATTCACAACAGTAAGAATCCTAAGTAACTGGCCTAAGTAGTCGTCCTCAAGATTAATTCTAATTATGTCAGAATTCTGCTGTTAAACTTAACCTATCTTCAAATAATTTATTTTAAAGTAAACATAAGATTAAGTTAACTTGGGGCTCTATAGTTTATAAGGTTATAGCTTATAACCTTAATCATATCTTCAATCTTAATTAATCTATCATTTGTCTGTTTTTCAAACATGAGTCATATCTGCCCACTGTTGCTCAGACACTTCCATATGCCTGGTTTCTTGCAGTCTTTTGTGCTAGAATGTTCTCATTTTGACCTACCATATCTAATACCCGCTCCCACAAAGATCAAAATCATTTCCTCTAAAATATTTCCTTGGTTGAGCTACCCAGGCCCTAGTATGGGGGAGATCTGAAGGTGGAAGGGTTTTGGTGTTACTTATTGGTATGATCCAAATTAAACACCTAAACTATTTCTCTTAGTTTTTGTTTGTTTGTTTTTCTTTTTTCTTTTTTGTATACAGGCATTTACCTCTGAAGGCATTTCATAAGCCTCACTGCCAGGATCCACAGGCATGTCTTCCAGAATTCCTTCTTGTGGGTACCCTTCTTCACCCTACAAAAAGGAAGAGACAGCACAAGGGGATTGCATTTTAAGTTCTGAAACATAGTTTGGGAAAAAGAAAAACCTTACATCTGATACATCTATAGGATGTTGGAAGGAATGTTATCAGAATGGCTTTCTTTAGTATTACTAATGGATTCTAAGTGTACCAAACCACTGGAAAAACACTGCAAATGTGGGTTACCAATCAGAATAGTGCAAAGGTTTTGCTCAGGTAACTTACTACTCAGGAAGTTGCCAAAGTTAAAGCCCATAAATTCTCTCCATTAGCACTAGTAACACAATGGCTTACAATCAGTAGGCGATGATGGTAATGTGTTCAAAATTATTATAAAAGACATAATTTTCTAATAATGAGAACTTATTTATAGTGTAATGTTTAGTAGGATATGGCTTTTAGACAGAGCCTGTCTAGCAGTTGAGTGCAAAAGTAAAAAAAGCTCTAAGAAAGTAAAAAAAAAAATATAGACAGACACATTATTATTTATTTTCCTAAATTTATAAGGTAAACTATATGTTTTATAATTCATTCAAAATTATTTTTATTTTCTTTTATGTGTATGGATGTTTACCCTGAGTGTATGTCTGTGCACTAAGTGCATGCGTGGTTCCTGTAGAAGCCAGAAGAAGGCATCACATGCCCTGAAACTGGAGCTACAGACAGTTGTAACCCGCCATATGAGTATTAGGACTCTAACTTGGTTCTTTTGGAAGTAAAACACATGCTCTTAACCCAATCATTCATTTTTAAGTGCTTTCAAATAAACAGTTCTTTTCTGAAATCTGAAGTTTGAAATTACACATACTTCAAGTTAAAAAAAAAAAAACAAGGACATGATTGGGCCCAATTTTCAGATTATCTCTCCACAAATGCAGACACCTAACATTCAGCTCAATACAACATAGCTTATTTGTATTCTCTATCAAAAGTCTTTTTTGTTCCTTCACATTTGTGCTAGCAAAGCAATTATTAAATGGTAGAGTTCAGAGAAAATCAATGAGCAGAGATGCAGCCAGACTCTAAATGGACTTATTTGAAGAGATCAAAGGCTGGTCAGCTTTTGTGGACAATATGTGTGGTATAAAGGATATCTTCCTATGCTTTATCAGAGACATGGTGGACAGATGGACAGAGGGCAGAAGCAATGGCTGACAATAAGAACAGCTCAGACTCTGAAGATCATGCTTTTGGCAGTTAGGCAAGAAAGCTTACAGATCATCCTATCATGCTGTATGAACATCAACAATCTCTGTTAACAAATCCAGAGAGTCCCCAAACCACCTCACTTCAAAATGGCAAGTAAGATATTACTTTCACAGTATTAAACACTGTGGAATAAGAATCCAAGTTTTGGTTGTATGTTGGTTCAGCATCAGGACTCAGTCACAAGATTTACATTACAATCCTAGCCTCCGTAGGTTATCACTATTTTGTGATTGTAGATATGTTTCTCTTACTACTTCTCAGCATCAACTAGCTTTAGTGAGAGAAAAACAGAGACTGATTGATTTACATATAGCTAAAAAATACAAGGAGCTCCATTGAACCTTGCCACTGATGTTTAAATGCTTCTTAGAGACATCCACTATAAAGGAAATATGGTAAACTACCTGTTTTGTTCCTAATGTATTCTGTGAGGTCTCTGTTATAAACTGGATGAGACAACTTTGTGGGCCAATCCTGGTTGCTGCTGACTCTGATAAATTAAAAACAAGGAAATCATGAAATTTGCAGGTAAATGGTGGGACCTGGAAAGGATCATCCTGAGTGAGCTGTCCCAGAAGCAGAAAGACACACACAGTATATACTCACTCATATAGACATATAACATGGGATAAACCTACTAAAATCTGCACACCTAAAGAAACTAATCAAGAGGGAGGACTCTGGCTAAAATGCTCAATTCCCACTCCGAAAGGCAAAGAGGATGGACAACAGAAGAAGAAGAAGAAAACAGGAAACAAGTTAGGAGCCTCCCACACAGGGCCTCTGAAAGGCTCTGCCCTGCAGACTATCAAAGCAGATGTTAAGACTTATGGCCAACTGTTGGGCAGAGTGCAGGGAATCTTAGGAGAGAAGTGGGAAACAGTAAGGTCTGGAGAGGACAGGAGGTCCACAAGGAGAGCAACAGAACCAAAAAATTTGAGCACAGGCAGGGGTTTTTTCTGAGACTCATACTCCAACCAAGTACCATGCATGGAGATAACCTAGAACCCCTGCACAGTTGTAGCCCATGGCAGCTTAGTGTCCAAGTGAGTTCCATAGTAATGGGAACAGGGACTGTTTCTGACATAAACTGATTGGCCTGCTTTTGATCACCTCCCCCTGAGTGGGGGCCTGCCTTACCAAGCCACAGAGGAAGACAATGCAGCCACTCCTGATGAGCCACTCCTAACAGACTAGGATCAGAAGGAAGAAAAAGAAACCCTCCCCTACCAGTGAACTTGGGGAGGGGAGTGTATGGAGAAGGGGGGGAATGGAGGGATTAGAGGGGGGATACAAAGTAAATAAAGTATAATTTAAAAAAATGTCTTCCTGTTTGAGAGAAAAGAATGTCCCTGGATGTGGTTGTCCATCTCTATGGGGGGAGTAACTGTGTTTACACTTCAAAGTTCAGCCAGATAATAATGGTAGCTGCTTGTGAATCCCTTGTGGGTTTTTCTTTTCTTTTTTTTTTAAGTTTTATTTTTCTCATTAGTTACATTTTGTTAATTCTGTATCCCAGCTGTATCCCTCCTTCCCTCCCCAATTTCACCCTCCCTCCCTCATCTCCTCCCTGCCCCTTTCCAAGTCCACTGATAGGGGAGGACCTCCTCCCCTTTCATATGACTACGTTTTGTCAGGTATTTTCAGGACTGGTTGCAAAGTCCTCCTCTGTGGTCTAACAATACTGCTCCTCCCTTGGGAGGTGGGGAGGTAAAAAAGCCAGTCATTGAGTTCCTGTTAGAAATAGTCCTTGTTTTTCATGTACTGCAATCAATAAAAATCCATCTTTGTCGGGCTGGCATGTAGCACAGTTTTAATCTCAGCACTCAGGTAGGTAGAAGCAGGTTGATTGTGAGTTTGAGGCCAGCCTGGTCTACAAATAGAGTCCATGACAGCCAAGGCTACACAAAGAAACTCTGTCTAGAAAAAACAAACAAAAAATCCATCTGTTAATTTTAAACATAATATCAGCAAAATTGTAAATTAATAATGATTCCTTTTTTAAAAATGTAGTATATGTGTTTCTGAGTACAACTTTTTCTTGTTCTAAAGATTGCACTCCTCTTAGTCTCATTTAGATAATGCTATGTTTCACAAATTCTTGTGGAATTATCTTTATCAAAAGTTATTTTTTAATTTTGTCATTCAAAAATAAGTTTGTAGGCAAGGGTTCCATAAACTGTAAAGGTACCATGATTTCTTAATAAAAGTGAAACCACTGATACCTGTCTTTAAGTTTATCTGTGAACATTTTCTAAATCCTGTTACAAGGATACCAAATATTGCACCTCCTCTTTTTCAGAGAGATCCGCAGTCCAATGCCATCTGGTTCCTCGTGCACAGCTTGCATCTACCTGGACCTTAAAGTGTATCTTGCAGCCTACCTGGCTCCTAATGCATAGCCTGCATCCCACCTGGCCCCACATGCACAGTTCGTAGTCTGTCTGGCCCTTAATGCATAGCCCTTAATTCATAGTTTCCTTCCTGGCTGCCTCCAATGCATGGCTTATATCCTTCCTACCTGCCACCTCCATACATATCTTGTATCTTCCTAGTTCCTAATATATAGCTTTTATCCTACCTGTTCTTTCCATGAGTAGCTCCCATCTCACCTCGCCTTTATGAACGTATTGTAATTTCCTGCTTCCTAATGCATAGTCTGTACTCTAATTGTCTCCCCTCACATACTTTGCATCCTACTTGGCCCCAAGTGCATAGCTTGCATCGTACCTGTCTCCCATGTATTAAAATTTTCACTGAAGATTGCCACATAGCATTCTGTATAGGATAATTCTCAGTGACAAAGTTACAATACAGAAAACATGGATTTTTCATAAAAATAAGGAGTTAAGACCAGAATGACCATGATTTCCAAGTGACCTTGGAAATTGCAGTCTACTAAGCAATGGTACACGGTGTAATTTAGCATAAGAACATAACAATGTAGCAGCTGCCAGTGAGAGCACAGTAAAATAAAAGATGAGTCCCCCTTCAAAATTTATGAGCAGCTAAAGAACAACTGGGGTTTCTAAAAGACATTGTACACAGTACATAATAATATTTTCAGTGGTAAGGGTTAATCAATTGCCTACCATCTACACCTGTAATACTAAAATCGGCAGGTAAAGATTTGGCTCTGTGCTAAGACGTGTGGGTTTTGTTATAATGTCAGGCAATATTAATCAACCCCCCCAAATAAAGAAGCAACACATTTGCTCAACAGATCACATCTTAAGAATGGAGAGAACAATAGCCATAAAGATAAGGAAATTTAAAAGAAAGAATTTTGACATCATAGGGGAAGGATCATCTAAGTATATATCTTAGTGTGTTAAGTGAGTACTTTTAATATGAAATACAGCCCAGAACTCTGCTTTAAATAAAAATAGCATGGATTTCTAGAAAGGAAAAAATGTGTATGGATGAACAAAATTTCTCCCAGAAACTATGGGTTTTTATACCAAACACCAAATGGCAGAGGTGGTATATTTTCTTATGAGTTGTTGGTAACAAGTACCCTAGAAAACCCCCAAACACTACAGGCTCTAACCATTCTTCTTTGTTGTGAGTCAGAAGTAGTGATAAGACTATTGCTGAAGACACTAAACACCTTGGATACAGGACTTAGAGAAGTCAGTTAGGATCTGAACTTGGAACTTCCTCCCTGCTGGCTAGCTTTCATAGTCTTGGAAAGTGCTAGAAAAGATAGTGGAAATAAAAAGACATCAATGTTTTTGTCTTATTCTACAATCTATAAGGCCAACTCTCCATGCACAAAGTGCCC